ATCGAACAACCATCCCGACTGCCACGCAGCCGTCGACGACGAGTGACTGAGTCCTCCGATTATTATCTCATTTGCCGCCGCGGCCAGCAGCACGCGTCAGACCCCGTGCGGTATCAGCGGTATCCTTGGACGACGGGGATCCATAGATCGTCGTTTCCGGCCGATCGGTGGATCATCATTTACCAAGCGGCACCAACTTCTGGAGGGACCCTCCGCTCGCGCCGTTCGCCGCTCCGCTTTCCCTTCGCTTGCTCTGTTGCGCGTGCAGGTGAGTGCGACTCTTGAGGGATCGCTCTTTCGCCGCGTGTCATCGAGATCTCGCGCGACGACGCGGAAAAAATGCAAACGTGCGAATCAACGCGATTTTGCGCCATTTTTCGTACTTGTTGTTTCGAAATTTTTCAAATCTTTCGAACGCGCGTGTAATTGAATTACAAATGCCATTTCTCTTTTCGTCAGAGTGAGAACTATTATATATCGTATTTTAGACTAAACGTTTCGCGAAAGGAGAAGATACTTATTTATTGTTAATTTTAAACGGCATTTACGATCAATTAATTAATTTCGTCTTCCACTATATCGTATATATTTGTGTATTATCGTATATATTTTATCGTATATATTTGTCGCATATAAATTTGGTTAACTAATTTTAGATGGCATTCTTTTTTTTGTCAAATGCAAACGCGGCGTATCTTTTTTCGCGGGACGATTCTCTGTTGTACACCATACGCGGCACTTAATGATACCGTTTAACTGGCTATTTCATATGCTTTCCGTTAAACATCTGCTGTGCATATCGCATCTGCATGATAATCAAAACGATCAATTCTGTAAACGCGTTGTTTTCTTTTGATGTACAAGAATATATCGCAATTAACGCCATTATCACGATGGTCACGATAATTTTCATCGCGTAACAATCATAATGGCTCGTCTTTCGCATAATGTTATGATAATATTTATCCCCTCAGTTTTCAATTTGCAAAGAGATTTCATCTTTGGTATAATCTTGGTTAGATAATATTTAGACGGCAGTTTTATTAGATAAACAGTGTCCCTACCGAGAACAAAGTTCTCCTAATGAGACATTTTTCAGACATTTTGTATAATATAATATAATGTTTACGCGCGTCTTTCTTTTTATTATTTCGATCTTTTACACTATGCGGAAATACAGCTATTATCGTCTGAAAATTTATGTATTCTGATTTTTGAGAAAATTTATCAAATAGTGTTGAATAAATAATATTTGTGTGTGTGTGTGTGTGTGTGTGTGTGTGTTTTGTGTGTGTGTCACGAAGCGTCACTATGAAATAAGTATCAGATGATTATTATTTCTTGAAGATGCAAGATCTTTAAAGTACGTCCAAGAGTCGTGAGACAGATGCATTTCTTCGTGTGACATGGAGAATAAAATGCTTGAATTACGCAAAGAGTTCAATCATAAAAAAAGCCTGGATTCTACTGCGATCGATGGCTTTTTCTCCCTAAGCAAAGCAAGAAAATCTTCTTGCGAGAGCGCAATAAAAATATTTATATAAACGTGAAAGAATCGCGCTATTCTTCTCTCGAAGAGAAGTTAAAAGAGTTAACCGTGAAGCTAATCGGTATGAAAAGATACGAGATTTTAAGTTTTAAATATTACTAGATAGTGCATTTAATTATATTGTAATTATTTATTTTGAAGATAAAATCACAAATCCTTCGACAGGATTATCAATAGTTATCGACTTTATAATAACAGATTTCCAGGCAAATTGACATTTTTAAAAATACGCGTACGTACACGGAATATTTTTAGAAAACTTTCAAACAATATTTTTCGACAAGTTAACAATAAAAAATACGTGAAAATAGTTAGCGACTGAAAACATCGAGAACTGCCTTGGGGAGCGAAAGAAGCGCACGTTCACAATGTCTAACAATGCAAAATGAAACGAGTTGCCACAAATTGGATGACGGTAATTATACCAAAATATTTCTTCTACAACGTACGTAATTTTTATAGGAAATACTATAAATTTAATAGGAAAACCCAACCAAATGAAAAAGTGCAATTCAAATATTTCTGACAATCTTTGAAATTGAAATGATGTGTACGCAAGATTTTACGATGCAAGTCCACATGTATACAGAGGGAAAAGACATTGGATTAAAAAAAAGATATCCAATCACATTGAAATTGATCAAAGTGATAGACAGATTGCAAGAATCCTATACATAGTGTTGTTACGTCCGACGGTCACACTAAACGCGCGTTCCGCGAGGAAGCCGCGCTCGGCAATAAACAATGCCGTTTAATAAAATACGTAGGCTTTATTCAAACTAATCAACAATAATTTCATGGACATACGTCTGTACGCCACGAGTCACTGCGTTCCTCGTAAACAACAACCGTTGTCCCGAAGAGCGCTTCACTTTTACTCCAAAATAGCGGCGGCTCGACTTCACTTGGCCGCGGAAGATTCGCGCGGTCATAACAGTATATGTATATAAACGAGAGTATAGCGAAAAGGGAAAAGTTATTGTCAAGTTGAATAAAAATAAAGCGAGAGGTATAATATACGTACATATATGGTTCATTATATATTTGATACGCTTCGCATCTCACGACAGAGATAGTGATGATAAAGCGAATATCGAAAGGAGGTTACAGGGATAGAAAGAAAGACGAGGAACGACAAAAGAAAGAAAGATGCAGGATCAGAGTTTAGGAGAGGGTGGCGGCGGCGACGGCAAAGGGTACCAGGGGCGGGAAACGGGGGCGGCAGGCCGAGGGAGGTAGAGCAGCGCGAATGCAAATATTCGCAGCGACAGAGAATTGAAACAATCCGCCAATTAGAATCGTCGACGCGAATGGGATTATGCAGATTCGCGCCGCCCGCCCGGTGGCGGACGGGACTGGCAGCTGCCGCAGCGCGAGCGAGCTTAATTCAATCCGCCGAGTTGTCTTATGAATCGTAAACTGGCCTTCCCTCGCGCACCGCGTGAAATCGAGATCGTCTTTCCACGGCGACGGCGGTGACGACGGTGACGACGGTGACGACGGTGATGACGCGTCGTCGACGTCGGAGTGATTCGCGTGCTCTATCCGCGTCGCTCGCCTCAAGCGGAATAATAATATAACGTCCTCCCGTAAAGTCCCTTTACGATCTTTAGAATAGCTCTCGAGCTGGTACCATTGTCTCCTAAACGAGTCTCCGCGCGGAGGAAAAAAATCGTCGTTGCTCCGAAGAATTTTCTCTCGCGCACCGTTTCGAGCGAATGCTTCTTCTGGTATCTGGTTTTCCGGGAAAAATAAAAAATGGCCGCGTCTAAAAAAAACGCGAGACCAACTCGTTTTTCTCCAGGAAAATATATACAAATTTTGATAATTAAAATTATAGTAACTTGAAGCTTATAATTGGAGATTTAATGAAATGATTTAAAACAAATTCGAGAAAATTTTTTATGCGAAAAAACGCAGTCTCTTGTCATTACAAACTGTAACTTCGATATGCAATACGGATGGATGGAATTATGGCGGCAGCGGTGACGGCGGCAAGCGCCGGCAACGAGTATTTATCACGAAGAGTAAAACTGACAGCAGTCCATTTCCCGTTCGTCCTGCCTGTCTGGCTGAACATAATATCTCCTGACGAAACAACGTGGACGCCGTTTGTTTGGGAAACAATGGACCGAAACAATACCCGATCCCTTTCTCTCTCTCTCTC